TGACTTCCCTTTATCCAGACCTGTTTGTCACATCCTGAAAAAAACTCTGAATGAACTTATCAAACGCAGTTTTGTTTTTGCAAAACTACTTTGACTCAACATGATTTATTTATGAATTTCTAAATGTTCTCCTACTAAATAATAGATTCCAACATTTTCCCAAAGTCAGATGTTAGGGTAACTGGCCCATCATTTCCAGCTCCTTTCTTGAATATGAATTTATATTTGCAATTTTTCAATCCTCTAGGACTTTCCCAAATCTAGCAACTTTTGGAAGGATGCACCCAATGCATCCACTATCTTTGTAGCTGCTTCTTGTAAGACTCTACATGTCAGCCATTAAGTGCAGGGAACTTGTCAGCCATGAATTTCTAAGAAATTCTATCAAGATTCTAAAAAATGAATCTCTCTAGTAACTGTAATTGTTTTAAGTTGCTCCCACTCTTTGGTCCCTTGATGTGCTAATATTCTTGGGATGCATTTTATATCTTCTATTATGAAAATAGATACAAAATTGGTTCAAAATCTTTGCCATTTCCTTGTTTTTCATTGTTAGCTCATCAGTCTTACATTCTAAAGTACCTATGCTTAGTTTAGCTGTTCTCTTCCTTACATACTATAGAAGCATTAACTGTTTCTATATTTGCTAGATTTTCTCATACTGAAATTTCTCATCCTTCATTTTTTTCTTAAATCATTCCTTACCGGTTTCTAAAGTTTTCCCAATATTCTGGGCTACCATTAATCTTCACAGCATTGTACATCTTTTCCCTCAGTTTGATAAGATTCTTAATTTTCATGCATCCTTCTCATAATATCTTTCCCAATTGAATATTGAGAGTTCAGAAATATTTCCTTAGATATCTGGCACTGATTCTCTATTTTCTTACCTTTAAACTGTTTAGCCAACTCTGCCTTTATATCGTCCTATGTACTTTATCAAAGATATTAGTTTCAGAACAATTTTCTCATTCTCAAGTTGAATATGAAATTCTATCAGGTTATGATCACTGGTACCAAAAGAATCATTTCCTATGAAATCATTACTTAATCCTCTCTCATTACCAGGTCTAAAGTAGACTGTTCTCTGATTGGTTCCAAATTAAAGTCATAGAAATGTACAGCATGGAAACGGACCCTTTGATCTAACTCATCCATGCCGACCCGATGTTCTAGATAAATACAGTCTCATTTGCCAGCATTTGACCCATATCCCTGTAAACCCTTCCTATTCATATACCCATCCAGATGCCTTTTAAATGGTGTAATTGTACCAGCCTCCACCACTTCCTCTGGCAGCTCATTGCATCTATGCACCACCCTCTGCATGAAAATGTTGCCCCTTAGGTCGCTTTTAAATCTTTCCCCTCTCATGTTAAACCTATGCCCTCTAGTTTTTGACTTCCCCACCCCAGGGAGAAGCATAATTTAATAAAAAATCAAAGTACTGCAGATGCTAGAGGTCTGAAATGAAGTCAGAATGTGCTAGAGAAACTCAGCAGGTCTGACACCATCTATGGAAAGTGAAACAGAGTTAACATTTCAAGTTCTAAATGACTGTTCTTTGGAACTTGGATTGTTCAAGGAAACAAACCTGAGTACACTTTATGAATTCAACCTTCAGCTAACTTATGCCAATTTGAAATTTTCTGAAGAAGGGTCCAGACCCGAAACGTCAGCTTTCCTGCTCCTCTGATGCTGCTTGGCCTGCTGTGTTCATCCAGCTCTACACCTTGTTATCTCAGGCTGTTCTGCAGTTGTTTTACATTTGGCAGCATGTTAAATGACTCCGGGGCGATGTCTGCCCCCATCTGGGTCCAGTTTAATTTCTGGTTAGTAGCAACCCATAGCATGTTGAGGATTAGGGTTTCAGTGATGGTGATGATATTGAATGTTAAAGAAAGGTAATTAGATGCGCTCCTGTTGGAGATGGTCACTGCCTGAACATTGTATGTGTGAATGATACTTGCTGTTTAACAGCCTAAATTTGAATGCTGCCCAGATTTTGCTGCATGCAGCTGTGGTCTGCTTCATTTTCTGAAGAGCTAATATTGAATACTGTGTATTCATCAGCAAATATCCACACTCCTGACTTTGTGTTGGAGGGCACTGCCTTTGGAACTGCTGCAGTGATGTCCTGGGGATATTGGCCTTGGACGTTCATGACCATCCTTCGATTTGAGTCCTGCCAGCCATGGTTTTCTTCCTAATTCCATTTACTTAAATTTTGCTCTGACCCATTGATGTCTCTCTCCATTAAATGCTGCCTTGATATCACGGACAATTATTGACCCCTCACCTCTGAAGTTAAACTCTTACATCTATGTTTGGACTAAGGCTACTTTGAGGTTTGCATGTGTTCCTGGCAGGGCCAGGTGTGTCCCAAATTGAGCAACAATAAGCTGGATATTGCTGAGTAATACTGCTTGTTTGCTTCTCATTTACACTTTTCAGCAGTTTGCTGAGTCAGTAGTGTATGAAGTTATGGAATAGCTTTCCCTATACAGTAGAAGTTGAAATACTAAACTAGTCATAGAACTTCAGTCAACAGACCAGTTAGACTGTGTTCTTGCACAGCTCGTTGGATCCAGAGGTATGCCTGCAAGATTTATTGAAGTATACTGTTGTGAAAATCTGTGCTTTTAAATTTTTAACTTTACTGTAATCCATGCTTTTGTTGCTTGACTTGACTATTCTAATGCATTCTTGGAAAGGCATGCACATTTTTCCCCTGAAGTCATCAAAAACTCGACTATATGTGACCTTGCATTATTTGCCCCTGTATCTGTCCCGTTCATCAACCACCCTATTGGTTGCTGACTTATACTGGCTCCTTGTTGAGCAACACCTTGATTTTAAGATCCACATCTTTGTTTACAAATCCAACTCTGGCCTTATGCGTTCATATCTTCCCTCCAGGAGAACAACCCTCTGGTGATAGCTGCAGTCATCTGTTATGGTTTGAATGAGCAGCATGGTGGCACAATGGTTAGCATTGCTGCTTTGCAGCACCAGGGACCGGTTCAATTCTACCCTCAGGTGACTGTCTGTGTGGAGTTTGCACATTCTCCCTGTGTCTGCGCGGGTTTCCGCCCTCAGTCCAAAGATGTGCAGGTTAGGTGGGTTAGCTATGTTAAATTGCCCCACAGTGTCCAGGGTGTAGTTTAGGTGGATTAACTGTGGTAAATGTGGGGGTAACGGAGATGGGGGTATGGGAAGAATGTGAATCAGGGTGGGATGTTCTTTGGAGGCTATGTGCAGATTTGATGGGCCAAATGGCCTCTATGATGTTGAGAATTTTTCAATTTAGTTGTTGCATCACTGGTCTTTGTGCCTTCAACAGCCTTGGTCCTAAGTTGTGCAAATCCTTCCCCAAAACACTCTGCCCCTCAATCTTTTTTACCTCTTTTAAGACATTGCTTAGAAGCCACCTCTGACCAAGTTAACTAAAGACAAAATACTGCTGATGCTGAAGATCTGAAATAAAAAGCAAAATGCTGAGGAAACTCAACAAATCCAGCATCATCTGTGGAGAAGAAAGAAAGAGAGTTCTTGTCTTGATTCCAATAAAGTTCTTCTTTGAAACCCTTTGAATAAGCTTTGTCCAAGGACCCTTATGTCATTCTATGTAGCTTAGTTTCAAATGTTGTTTAATGCTCCATTTTATCACATTAACCGGCTGTTAATTACAAGTTAGCTATGCAAAACCTGTATGGCTAGGAGTAATGTCACATAAATGTAGCGTACATGTGCCTGAAATAACAACAAAGATGAGGATCTTTTCTGTACAACCAGTGTTCACAGTTCCAGATTGGCAGTCTTTATAATTTTGTTGTTCTTGATTTTGAAGACGATATGGATGAAGTTTGATTTGTGGGTGGATGACTGATGTGTGAGGATTCTGTAACTGTCACATTTTCCAGCTGAAACCTTGGAAATAACTACAATTGTTTCACTCGTAGTTTGGTTACCTGCCTATGTGAAATGTGCTAGAAAACATTTAATATACTGCTTCGGCTTCATTATGACGTTTTTTTCTAGCAAAAGTGCTAGCCATGTTGTGTGAGGAGAAATTGAGTTGACTGAGACTGTATTCACTGAAGTTTAGAAGAAAGAAAGGTGATCTCATTGAAACATATGAAACTGTGACAGGACTGAACAAACTAGATGTCAAATGATGTGCCCTTGGCTGGAGAATCTGGCACAAGGGGTCACGGCCACAGGATACATGGTAAACCTTTTAGCACTAAGATGAAAGGATGGTGCCCCTGTGGAATTCTCAATCACACAAGGTGGTTGAGTCAGAATATATTTAAGAAAGAAATATATTTCTAGATACTGAAGGCATGAAGGAAATGGGAAGTGAATGATAGTATGTCATTAAGAAAGAGAATCAACCATGACCATATTGAATAATGAAACAGGCTTGATGTGCTAAATGGCCTACTCTTGCTCCACTCCTACGTTTCTTGGCACATCTGTTTTCCTTATTGCATTGTTACTAAAGCTGAACTGCCAAAGGTGAAAACATGCCAGGTACATGAAGCGTAAGATAACTATTGTTTCCTTTATAATTCAGATCATTTAACCTAGACCCGGATAGTTCTTTTTCAGTCAGTGCAAATATAATGGGCCAAATGGCCTTTCTCTTTGTCACAAACTTCTATGGGTTGAGCTATAATTATAATTTCATGACAATTTGAAATTTCAAACTAAAAAGAATGAGGAATAAGTTATTCTTCCAGTAACATGATTCATACTGCTAAGTTTCATCATGGTATAAATACGTTTTGGATGCATGATGAGATGGTGCTTTTATGTACATGCCCAGTTGGTACAGGTTATTGCCATTCTACTTTATAGCTGTTCTCCAGGCGGACTAATCAATTCACAGATTTGTAGCATTTATATATCAGTAGGAATACAGATACTGCCAATTCATGGCTGTCAAATGAAATTAATGTTTTATTGTTTCTCATTGCTGCCTTTCCTTTTAACAGCTTAAAAAAGAAGAGCCAGTCCTGAGCAGCCAAAATAAATCCTCAGGTACACCAGTGGACAGTGGAAGGTCAGTCAAAGTCTTTCCTAATATCTTTGCATATGTCCTCAGATCTTCCCATCGAAAATTTTTCTCTCAAGACAGAGTAGTCCAGGTGACGTCTGTATTGCGTTTCGTGTAGTGTTTCAAGGTATGCCACCATTAATTGGAGAATTTTGATTCTATAAGATGATATTTTCTCTCAGTGTGTTTGTTTTAGAAATCATTTTATTCCCACTCTACCAAAGAGTATGAAGTCCATAAGAGCATAAGATATGGGAGCAGAATTAGGCCATTCAGCCCTCAAGTCTGCTCCACATTTGATTCACTCAATCATGGCTAATATGTTTATCAACTCCATTCTCCCACCTTCTCCACGTAACCATTGATCCCTTACCAGTCAAGAACGTATCTACCTCAATCTTAAATACACATAACAACTTGGCGTCCACAGCCTTCTGTGGCAATGAGGTCCACAGATTCCCCACCTTCTGACTGAAGAAATTCCTTCACATCTCAGTTCTAAAGGGTCATTCTTTCACTGTGAGGCTGTGCCCTCAGGTCCTAGTCTTTCCTGCTGGTTGAAACATCTTCTCCACATCCACTGAATCCAGGCCTCACAGTATTCTGTAAGTTTCAATCAGATTCCCCCTCATCCTTTTGACCTCCATCAAGGAAAGATCCAGAGTCCTCAACCGCTCCTTATATGACAGGCCCTTCAAGTTCAAGTTATTCTGTGGCCTAGATGAGATGTCCTGAACCCAGGCACCAGGCATGCAACACCGCCTATAATATCCCTGAATACAGCCACATTTCTCTTTTCTCCCCCCTCTTGAATGGCTCCCTGTACCATGGTGCTATGGTCAGTTTGCTCATCCTCTCGACAGGCCCCAATCTCATCCACACAGGGAGAAAGATTCTCAAGCCTGTTAGACAAGCTCAAGGACTGAGGGTCCTTCAGCACTACCTCCTGGAGCTCTCCATCTGCCTCGCTAATAGTCACATCCTCCTGTTCCTGACTACCGACTGTATTTAAGCTCCTTAATCTCAGGAGTGTGACTGCCTCCTGAAACACAGCTTCTAGGTAACTCTCCCACTCCCTGATGTGTCACAGTGTTCAAAGCTCAGACTCCCAGCTCATCAACTCTGAGCCAGAGTTCCTCAAGCAACCAAAACTTGCTATAGATGTGGTCACTATCCACCACAATGGGGTCCACCAACTCTCACATCATGCAGTTGCAGCACATCGCCTGGCTGAGCATCTCCATTTTAATTACTTAGTTCTTAACTTGATTTTTAAAAATTTCATACTGGTCTTTTAGCTTCTAGCCTGTAAATATATCCCCTATTTACCTTCAGTCTGAAAGTAACCTGTAATACAATTAGTAGCTATTGCCAACCAATAAACTTACAGTTTACCTGTGATGCCACTCTCCTGTTTAAAAAAAATTCTTGTCAACTAGTAGCTGAAAAAAAACCAAGTGAAAAGCATCTCTTCCCCTCAACATCAAATTCCTACATGCCTGCGAATTTCCCAAACTATATACTTACTTTGGCTGTGTCTCACTCTGGATGGGATCGCTCCTTCCTGAGCATTCAAAGCTTACTGGGTCTGTAAGAGTATGGCTGGTAGTATGCCTGAAAACACCTATTTACCTCTTTCCCATCTGTCTCAGTAATGAGTTAACAGATGCACAAAATGCTATAAGACCTATGCCACCTGAGTTCTGTAGCATTCAAAATGCAGCTTTAAGACCTACTTTGTTCCTGATATGCTTAATTCATAATCAGCAAACAGGTTGGAACCCTGTGTACCAGGTTGGCCATGTGGGAAATTGAAAGACTACTTGAGCATTATGTGAAAGGTTCCGTGACATGGGATTTTGATGATCACTTTTTCCATGATAATCTCAAAGGGTTTTATGTTCTTTTTGGGAAGAACAAACCCCAGACCACCCTCATCAGCCTTTCTTGGCATTTAGCAACATTTAATTAGGGACCCTATCAGTAAGGCTTCTTTTTAAAAATGTTCCTGCTGATGGAACATTTCATCTGTGATGAGATATTTGTCTTTCTGTTTACGTTCCTCTTCAACAACTACTTCACAGCTCTGATGGGGCACAAGCATGAATAGAGCGTTTAGCAGCTAGATGGCTGATGGAATTCTGTGTGCTGCGAAGTTACAATTGGAGGTGTCCTCCAGCTCATGCCAAATTTAATGGCAAGACCTGATTATCAATGTCTGTAATGATTCCCCACCTCAGCCAGACTGAAAGGCTGGGTGGCTGTTGAGCTTGTAGGCCAGTGATGCAAGGCTGCAGCTGAGAAATGGATTGCAGGAAGAGAAAGATCTGGCTATGAAAGTGGATTGGTGAGAGAGAGTCTATCCATGGAGAAGATTGAGGGAGGTGCGAAGAAAATTTGGTAAGGGTATGGTGGGAGGGCCACTGTCACTGGCAAAATCTACATTTCCTTTTTAATTTCTGTGATCAGTATGTTTGTATGGAAGAAATGTACGTGTTTTCTCAGCAAGCTGCGAGGCTTCTTGCAGTCACATTTCTCAGGTGAGCTTAAAAATCAGGAAAGGTTGAAGGGAGTTCTTCTCCCATTTTTGAACTATTGCTGCTTCATATCTGTGATTAGTTGACTTGTAGCTGGGTCGATCACTTTCCGATGGAATTCTTTCCACGGACCCACTTATACTGTTTTCAAAGGAAATCAGAAAATATGAGTCTCAGCCTGTGACCCTTTCAAGTCCAATGTCCTTTTCCAAATAGGTTGGCGTGGCTAGAATGATTATGCATCCTGTGTTACAGCTTTCACATATTTGAAACAGACAGTGTCTTTGTATCTCAATGACCCTTCAATGTGAAATTACCCTTTTGAATATACTAGAATGTGACACCATGGAGAATATCAGTGCCATCCATGGAAAGAGAATCATCAGGGAGCACTGTGGAGAAGATGGGCATGCTGGTGATAACAGTGCGGTCTGTGGAGGATTGCAGGAGGTCCTTGGATCATGGGGCAGCTGGATCTGATCACAGAGGGGTTATGATCACTGAAGAGGGTAACAGAGTAGCTTGGTGGGATATGGAGAAACACTGCTCCTTCTTGCCCAGAGATCTGTTTGATCCTTTTCTTTCCAACTCATGGGAAACCTGTTTGACGAATGTTAAGGGTGGAACACATATCATTTTAGGCAGCAATTTTCATAAATGTGTTTTAGTTAAGGACCAGTCTGTTGAGAGGAGATTGGCTGCCCAGCTCACTCTTCCAATCTCTCTTCCTACTGAAAGTCAGCAGATTCATGGAAGATTGCATTTATGTTTGACTACTTGCATCTTAATTTCCCTCTTGACTCAAATCTATCTGCTGTGAGATTTGCAATTATATCCATCCATCTAAAAGTTATTTTTAAGAAACTTAGGGAGGTCCTTTGCCAATTGGTGCTTAACATAATGCCCCAGTACCTCACAGTAATAAGCATCGTACTTCTAGTAGAATGTTTTTGTCAGCTCACTTTGCTTTATTTGCCAGAATCATATTGCTTTTTTTTGAGAATTGCAGTTGTACCACTAATGCACTGGCTCACTATTATCTTGTAACCTATACCTCTGCTTTAGAGTCAGAGTCCTACAGCACAGAGACAGGCCCTTTGGCCTAAACTGGTCCATGCCAACCAAAATGTCCATCCACGCTAACCTCATTTCCCTGCACTTGGCCCATATCCTTCTAAACCTTTCCTATCCATGTATTCATCCAAATGCCTTTTAAATGTTGTTAATGTACCCGCCTCAACTACTTCCACTGGTAGCTCATTCCACATAGTAAAAAAGTTGCCCCTCAGGTGCCCTCTTACCTTATTCTTTCCCCTCTTACCTTAAACTGATGCCCTCTAGACCTCGATTCCCCAACCCTGGGAAAAAGACTAAGTGCATTCACTGTATCCATGCCTCTCATGATCTTATACACTTCTATAAGATCCCCTCTCAGTCTCCTACGCTCTAAAGAAAAAAGTCCCAGCTTGTCCAACCTCTCTCTATAACTCAGTCCTTTGAGTCCTGGCAACATCCTTGTAAATTTCTTCTGCACTCTTTCCAATTTAACAACATCCTTCCTGCAGCAAGGTGATCAAAACTGAACACAATATCCCAAGTGCGGCCTCACCAATGTCCTGTACAACTGCAACATATCTTCCCAACTTCTATACTCAATACCCTGACTGATGAACGCCAGTGTGCCCAAAGCCTCCTTCACTGCCCTGTCTACCTGTGACTCCACTTTCAGAGAAGCATGCACCTGAACTCCAAGGTCCTTCTGTTCCACTACATTCCTTAAGGCCCTACCATTCACCATGTAGCTCCTACCTTGATTTGACTTTCCAAAGTGCAGCACCTCACACTTGGCTATGTTCAGTTCTGTTTGCCATTTCTTGGCCCACTTCCCCAGCTGATCAAGATCCTGCTGCAATTTCTGATAACCTTCCTCACTGTCCACAATACCGCCTATTTTAGTGTCATCCGCAAACTTACTAATCATGCCTTGTACATTCTCATCCAAATCATTGATATTGATAACAAACAGCAATGGGCCCAGCACCGACCCCTGAGGCACACCACCAGTCACAGGAATTCCTTTTTTAGCCTCTTGCAGGGTTCTTGGATATATCTGGCCAGGACCAGGAGATTTATCCATCTTCCTACATTCTAACATGGCCAACACCTCCACACTGTGATATGGACTGTCCCTAAGATATCGCCACTAACTTCCCCAAGTTGCCAAGTCGCCCTGCCTTTTTCCATGGTAAACACAGAGAAGAAATATTCATAGAGGACCTTGCCATCTCCTGCGGTTCCACACACATGTCCACTTTGGTCCTTGAGGCATCCTATTCTGTCTCTAATTATTCTTTTTCCTTTAATATACCTAAAGAATCTCTTTGGATTCATCCTAACCTTCTCAGCCAAACCTATTGCGTGCCTCCTTTTCGCCCTCCTGATTTCCCTTTTTCATTGCCTTTGTGTGCA